ATATATATATATATATATATATATATATATATATATACATGTATATATATATGTGTATGTACATGTATGTATATATATGTGTATGTGTATGTATAAGTATGTATGTATGTATGAATATATGCATGGGGCATATGTATGCGTGTATGTATGTGAAAAGTGTGTGTATATGAATATAGATGAATATGTGTATGTGTGGATATGTGAATATATTTTAGGTTTTATATATATATATATATATATATATATATATATATATATATATATGTGTGTGTGTGTGTGTGTGTGTGTGTGTGTGTGTATGTGTATGTGTACACGTATGTCTGGGAGTACATGCCTAAGTGTATGTACCTACTTGTATATGTTTTTGTGTGTGTTAGTATGTGTTTTTGAACATAGAAATATTTGGTCCTTGCTAAATTAGACAATCGTTATATTCATCTTCATATATTTATATTTGATTTCTAACCTGTAGTCGATACTAATTTTCTCAATTACAAAGCGGCCCTTTAAGTAAACACAATTTTATTTTCCTTCGTCCCATCTCTCCCCCCACCTCTTCTCTTCCTTTTTTTTTTTTTTTTTTTTCCCTCCTATCCTAATTGTCTATGGTGTGTATATGTCACCACGAAATGTATCTTTATGCATTAGACATCCGTCGACTTTCTTTCTCTCCTCTCTTTAAATTCCCCACCCCCACCCACATCTCCTAAAATTCTCTGTTAAGGTTTCATGTCCCTCCTCCTCCTATACTTACTTTTCTCTAAATTCTGTTTTTGATTTCCGGAGTTGTTTTTTCTGTTTTCATTTTGAATTTGTAGGTCTGATGATTTGGATCGTATTTACGATTCCAATGGAATAAATTATGACCATGGAATATTAGTGTTTAAGCCTTTTTTATTATATCCTTACTCTGTCTTAGACATTGAGTTCTACCTGGATCCTTCCTCTTGGAAAATTTTTTTTCTGAAAATATACATGTATGGGAATTTTTATATATTTTTGCATATGTATGTATATTTTCCACTAATATTATCTATCTATCTATCTATCTATCTATCTATCTCTCTCTCTCTCTCTCTCTCTCTCTATATATATATATATATATATATATATATATATATATATATATATATATATGTATGTATGTATGTTTGTATGTATGTATATTTTGTGTTATTTATGATCGTCGCTTTACACCACCTACTTTCGCTGACTTTCTCAAGTTAGACCTTTTACAAGAACATTAAGATAAATTAAATAATAAGTTATTATTTAATTTATTGTAATGTACTTATAATCTCTGATGATGGCTTATGTAAGCCGAAAGATTAGACAGGATTAACAATAAAATCATGTATCAAAATAGTGATTTTCTTTCGTGTTAAATTGATAATGCTATAAAGCGTATTCGACAATATGAAATGAATTTACTTAAAATAGAGAGAACTCGTCTATATTATTTAATGAAACATGCATTAATGAAAAAATGGCGCCTAAATACACACAATATATATATATATATATATATATATATATATATTTAACATAGTCATTTACTGTTTCTTGAATTTTAAAAAAAAACTACACCGAAAATAGTGTGTTTTTGTGCATATACTTGTATATTCGTGTACATGCATACACACCCACCCAGACATATACTTATATTTGTTCATTTTTTGGCTCTCTTTATTTTTCTATATTTCTTTTTTATTTTAAAACGAAGGATATTAGAGATTGCAGATGCTCTCAGTGGTATACGTCGTTTATAAATTTTCCACTTTTTCTCATCGTGTCTTTTCTTTCAGATTCTATTATCCATCCGGTAGACGCACATAAATCTTATAAATCTGTTGGCTTCTCCGTCTGTTCTTTCGTTAGCCCGTGCGTATGTAACGCTTCGTCAATAACTAATATTCCGTTTTGATTGCATGGCTACAGTGAAAGAAAGAGAGAAGAAAGTCAGACAAGAAGAAAGAAAGAATGAAAGAAAGAATAAATGAGAGATAGAAAGAAAAGAAAAAAATGAGTGATAGAAAGAAAGAAAAAAATGAACTGACAGGACCTAATAAATAATAAACTCTTTCTTTTTTAGTCGCATGGAAAGACGAAATAAACACACAAAGACGCTGTTTGTTTCACTGAGAAAAAGAAAATCAGAAAGAAAGAAAACGTAACTAGTATATATATTATATTTCTTCATATATATATATATATATATATATATATATATATATATATATATATATATGAAGAAATATAATCTTAAGGTGTGCTATATTTATGGGATAAAGTGATCCATATCAGAGATAGAGCGTGTGTAAATATAAAGTGAACATAGAAGTCCAACACTTAGAGGCTCTATGTTGACTTTGTTCACTTTTATATATATATATATATATATATATATATATATATATATATATATATAGATAGATAGATAGATAGATAGATGATAGATATATATATATTATTAACATTATATCTGCTTGTTTTTTGTCATAATATTCACGAATATTTTTTCCGTATAATACAGTTAGGCAAAAAATGCGATGTAACTGAGAATCACTTTTCCTTGCCGAGTACTTTCCATCTTTTTCTGAAATCATCCTCAGGAGTGCAGCTGTTAAGGCAAATAATATGTGCAGCTAACCACTACTGATTTTTTTTTATTCTTTTGCGTTTAAGTGCAAATCTGACAGTCATGATTTAGCGTTCATTAGAACCTAAAAAAAATATCCATTATGGAGTTGTTTCTTTTATATTGGAATGACATGGTCAGCCATCCGAAAACAGTCAACATATTGTGGCCGTGTTCGTACTTAATATTATTAAGTGTTGGCTCTCACTTTTTTTTATTATTATAAGGCTTCCATTATTTTTAATCTTTTTTTTTTTCATGTGGAGGAGGTTGATATTTTCTACTAGTATATTTCGGATAGAGCCTGTTAATTTTATGTGTGTTTAAATGGGTTTATATATATATATATATATATATATATATATATATATTTATATATATATATATATATAGTTTTAAATGTGCTTTATTATAGGCTAATAGAGCTCAGTGTCGGAGATGTAGTGTTTAAAGTAATTAACAGCGTAGATACAGAATGCAGAAATGAAGAATCGTGAAAATGTCAGTCCCGATGCAATGTTGATTCTTTTGTCCACTCAGTCTATAGCTGAAAAAGAAAAAAAAAACCAATAGAAAAGAAATCTTCTTGTAACTTTAACCAAAATTATTTATAATCCTTCAAGATTAAAAGTCGTTTTGATATTTCTGCTGCTTCTGTTGAAGGCCATCCATTTTGTTTGAATGTTTGATTGTATTTATTCCATAATCTTTTTTTTTCTTTTAACCACCCGCATCTAAAATTAAAATAGTTTTAAATACTTAATATTTACTAGTGATTTTATAGTTTCTTCTATTGGTAGGTAAACTGTTATTGGTCCTTAACTGGCACCTAGTTTTCAGTCAGTTTCTCATTGCCTATAAATCTAAAAATATTTTCATGGTAATTGTTCTAATGAACTTTTTTCAATAGTACCTAAACTGAATGAATCTAAATGAGTAATAGATTGGAGACAAGGATTCATCCTTTTTACAGTTGAAATAGCTAGATTTAACCGTAAGTTCTATGTTAAGAGTTTCTTCTATTGGATTTCTCGCTTATGGAACTCTTCCGCTTTTTACTTCCTAGCTTTGATCTTCAAGATTTTAAATGCAATATCAAACATTATATTCCGTCTTTTAATTTTTCTGTCCTTTTCTTGTTTTCTCTCCTTAATAGTATATTTTTGTATTATTCTCTAACATTTAACGCCGTATCTGATAACAATACATCCGTCTTTCAAGCTATCTGAAATAAATTATAAAGAACAAACTTCAGCTGGAAGAATATAGACACGTACTGAGAACGAACCAACAAAGAGTTGTTCCTATTATTTTCACCCTTGCCAGAATTCATTTAAATGTGCAATTGAGTAAATTACTGCCTTATAGGTTTTAGTGGGTGTATTGCCATGCTTGGGGTGAAATGATAGAATAAATAACTTTAAAAACACTGTCTATAAAAACATTGGACAGGAAAAATGAGTTTGAATAAAATACGAATCATTTATTCTTTCAAGAATTTATGAACCTAAAAAAGAATTCCTTCCTTTTCCTGTTAAATTTGAATATTTAAATTGGAATATATACGGTTTTTTTTTGTTTATACATTTATTAAAATAAATCCTTACTTCTATGTATAATTTTTTTTTTTTCTCAGCTTCACTCCAGTCCTTATCGACCTCTTTTCGCTGGCCTTTAAAATAGAAACAGACGCACGTTCTTCTTCGGGAACGATCGATATTGGCAGCATTTTGTGGAAAGGTGCCATATCCATTCCATTCATTACACTTTCAGGTGAAATTGAATAATACATAGGAAAAGGCGCCCAAGGGTAATGGCAGTTTTTGATCATAATAATTATCATCAAGCGAACATCCTAATCACGTTTGCAATTAAAACGTAGTTCTACCTTTTCCGTGTTCTCTTCATCCAATAATTAAATCACAGGTGTAAGTCTACGATTTCTGCTATGAATACAATTAATCACCTTTGTCTTCGTTCCGTGATATTATTATAATTAGTGATGGTCCCTGTCAAGGTTGAGAATGGAAGGAACAGATATTTGCAACCAATGACTGGGAATCTAAGAAACTTATACCACAGCAATTTGCTTAATTGCACACTTAAATGAATTCTGGCAAGGTTGAAAATAATTGGAACAGCGCTTTTTTCCGCACGTGTTTATCTTCTACAGGCTCTTATTTCCGCTTACGCCTGTTCTTCATAATTTATATCACATAGCTTGAAAGATGGGTGCATTATCATCTGCCGTTGCACAATGGTTGTCCGTATCATTCCATATTTTCAATTTAAAGAACAAACTGGTTTTTGTAATTATTTGGGAGAATAAAATGTCTGTACTCGATTTAACTGTAGTCATGTAATGGACGAACTAGTTTTGGTATCCTTCCATCTAATTTTGTTCATATCTATCTATCTATCTATCTATCTATCTATCTATCTATCTGTCTCGCCTATTTTATCTATCTGTTACTATCAATTCATCTATATATTTCAATGCGTTCATCTATCTATCTATCTATCTATCTATCTATCTATCTCTGTCTGTTCATATCTATCTATCTATCTATCTATCTATCTCACCATTTTTATCTATCTGTTACTATCAATTCATCTATATATACCAGTCTGTTCATATCTATCTATCTATCTATCTATCTATCTCAGTCTGTTCATATCTATCTCAGTCTGTTCATATCTATCTATCTATCTATCTATCTATCTATCTATCTATCTATCTATCTTTACTTGTACTTGTATAAATTTATATTTTGCAATTACTAACGGAAATATTCAAAACTTAAAGATGAAATATCGTGGAATTTTATTTCGGATTTAAGCAAACTTTTGGCCAATGGATAATTATTACCACCAGGTGTCTGGCCCTCCTGATTATTTTCTTTGGAGTTAGTTAAAGGAGCACGTATAGATTTATAAACTGCAAAGAATGTAACAGCTCAAGTATAAAATTGCGTGCAGAATTGCAAGATCTAAAACTATAGTCTTTAACAACTTTAATTTAAAATATTATGTAAAATGTGCGTCTGTGTGAAGTCAGAAATAGTAGATATTTACGTTGTATAAAATTTTGTTTGATGAAGAGGAAGGCCGGTCGCTACCAGGATTATAGAATCATTGTAAATTTCAACGTCCCTTCATTAGATACACACTATGTTCCTGACAAGGAGGGAGTACGCCATGTTTATACTATAACTGGGAGAAAACCTAGCTAATTTCTAATTCTGATCAGAATCTCTCGCCTTGTTGCCAACTAAGGATAAAAGTTATCTCTGCTGTACTATTTATCCATAGCTAATGCTAATGTTGGATTTATACGTTTCTCGAGATTATTTACTTGTAAATAAATGTAACAGACTCGACCGGAATTCGAACTAGGATCTACGATTTCGCATCCAGAACCAATTCTAGTAACCCACCCGCACATGTAAAGATAATCTCATAATTAAATAGGAATATATTTCAAATGTCTGAGATTCATTTTGCATAAAATTATTTTTTAATAATAAAATAATATATAATAATAACAAGACAATATATAAAAAAAATACCTAATAAAAAATAAAAATAATATATAATACTAAAATTATTTTTTAAAAGCAGAAAATGAGTTCTGGGACACACTGTATGTATTGATATATCTATTTTTCTTATGACTTCGATGAAAAAATTAAAGAAGACACAAAGATATTGTTCAGATATTAATATATCTTATATATTTATTTATTTGCTAATACAGGAAAAGAAGTTAATAACTTTTGAAAAGTTTCTGAGACTTAGGGTACTATAAAAGTGACAAATTCGTTGGCTTCTGGCAATGTTCGTTTGCAAACAAACATAGAATATTCTAATGAAATCAAAAGACTTCTTTTCTTTTTCACTCAATATTCAAAGGTTACTGTTTGTGCATTTCGAAATATTTGCTTTTTGTCGAACCAATATGTCTGGTGACAATTTTTTTCTGAGTCAACATGTTTAAGTATAAAAGGTCGAGCTTAGATCAAATGAGGAAATCGTGTTGGCAAATAAACATACGGGATATCATCATTATAATCATAATTCTTATAATAATAATCAACATCATAAATGGTCGTTGCGCAGCTGAAAAGTCTGCGTTAAAAATGAGATCAGTCACTTATGTGCCATGCGAGTTACACGATTAGGCGATCATGTATCTTTCAATATATGAGTGACGAGACAGATTTTTTCCCGCAGTAGGCTGCCATTTCTTTCGGACATCTAAGGCTATAGAACTCGGTTTGTCCTGTTATTTTCTGGGGAGAAGAAGAGGATTCATATATTTCCCAAGGATATTAACACGTAAGTAAATGTAATGGATTCAAGTGGAATTCGAACTCGGCTTTCTGATTCCTCAATCCGAAACGGTATCCATTACTTCACCGTGCCTCTGAAAATGAAGTATGTATTTATTAATGATCAAGGTTTCTTAGTCAAATTCACTGCCGATAGGCTCGGACACATAACCGTTGATTACACGTGAAGAGAACTACTGGACAGTCTAAGTAACAGCCCCCCACCCCCCGCGCGTCCAATGATGCGATACTTTCATCGCAATGGCTGCATAGATATTTTATGGTAACCGTCCCACACAATTACATTGCAGTTTACTCCACAAAATGGATCATCTGCCCTTTGACAATTATTGTTTTTAATACTCCTGGGAAATTAGGAACAATCTTAAAAAGAGACGAAGCCCGTTAGTATTTATTTCCATGTCTCAGTTGATTACTGACTTTTAGTCAAATCTAAAATTTAACATAGGTTTATAAATAGACGATAAAGTACTAACACTAAGAAATTGTACTAAGAAATTGTAACGACATAACTGGTATAATCACAAAAAAGACATAATACAAACTTTCAAAAACCCTAGCATTTATAACCGATATAAAAATCTACCAAAAAATAATAAATCTCCTGGACATGACCAGCAACTTAAAAAACCAAATTGAAACCATATCTAAAAAAAATTAGCTGCACAATATATATTTAAAAAAAAAAAAAAAAAAAAACCAAAGAAACTATCCCCTAGAGTACACAAGCAAATACCTATATTTATATATATGTAAAATATTTCAAACAAATTTCAGCAGCTTAAAAATATTCAGTGAAACAAACATTTCCTAAAAAGAAACAAATTATTGAAAAATATCAATTAAATTACGATCATAATCATCTGTATGGAGAATATAGAAAAATAATAATAAAAAATACTAAAAAATATCAATAGCAATACAGCAATAACAGTAACACACGTAGTAAAAATAACAATCAGCACAATTGTATCATACAATATAATTTTAGAAAAAAAAATGTCCACTTAATAACCAATGCGTAACCAATAACATAATATAAAATGGTACCGTAAATAATAATAATAACACAGACGTAAAATCTTATATGGGTGTTACAGACAAAAAACGAGAAAACAAGTATTACAACAAAATGCTTTTTGACAGAAAAAGTACGCCAAAAATACAATTCTATCAAAAGACATATAAACGCAAAAAGAAAACAATATCCCACCAAAATCAAATGTGGAATTCTAAAAAGGGTAAATTCATACAAAATTGACAACAGCAACGGTAAACTATGTTTAGCGGAAAAATTACAAATAATTAGTTTTAGAAAGCAAAACAAGCAGTTAAATAAGTGTTGTGGTAGGATCCACCTAATTTGCATAGTGGAGTACCGACCATATAAATATGGTTGGTACCGGGAAGAGAGGGAGTAATCAAGAGATTCAACCAGAGACTCTGCCCGACTGCGACTCAGTCAACACATTCTCCAGGAACAGTCTTACCAGGAATATACAAAAGACTATATGTAAATATTGTGTACACTTTCTTGTTTCAGTACATTTTGTTCTAAGTACATTTTGTGTTGCATTATTATTCCATGCATTAGTCAAGTTTCAACAATAAGAAAAAAGAAATAATGTGTAAGTGCAACCTTTACTATTTGGGCACGTTCTTTCACACGTTATATATATATATATATATATATATATATATATATATATATATATATATATATATATGATTGTGTGAGTGTCTGCGTGTGTGTGTAAAATTCATCCAATTGTTAAGATGTGAACTGTTGTAGCTTAGAGATGATTAAGGATATCTTACTGGAATTATCCGAGGTTTTTATAAAACTATTGGACTCTATTTTGAATAATAATAGTGTATTTTGTTCTAAGTTAAAACGATGGTCCCTCTTGCTGTTGTGACTTCCTGATCAAGTTTTTCTCTCTACTGTTCACTCTTTTTAAAACTTATTCACCGTTCTTTGATGGTTCAGAATGGACTTTAAAGATGGAAGCCAGCGTCTGAATGTCCAAATCATTATCTATCTATCTATCTATCTATCTATCTATCTATTTATCTATCTATCTATCTATCTATCTATCTATCTATTTCAGGCTGTTCATATCTATCTATCTCTATCTATCTATATATCTATCTATCTATTTCAGGCTGTTATCTATTATCTATCTATTTCAGGCTGTTCTATCTATCTATCTATCTATCTATTTCATCTATCTATCTATTCATATCTATCTATCTATCTATCTATTTCAGGCTGTTCATCTATCTATCTATCTATCTATCTTTCATCTATCTATCTATCTATCTATCTATCTATATATATATATATCTATCTATATATATATCTATTTCAGGCTGTTCATATCTATCTATCTATCTATCTATCTATCTATTTATCTGTTCTATATCTATCTATCTATCTATCTCTATCTATCTATCTATCTATTCCAGGCTGTTCATATCTATCTTTCTATCTACCTATCTGCTTCTGAATGTGCGTATTTATTATTTTCCTGCAACGCCAATCTGTTACACTGAACCCAGGCAAATCTAATGGGAGCGACACTTTGATCCTAGGAGGTGCTCACCGATAACACACTCACTGTGTCTGTGTAAATGTATCAGAAAAGCGATATGTTGGCCCGGGGCAGCACTTACAGTTGCTGCCGTGCTCCCGGGGAGAATTACGGAGTGGTCCACTTTGATCTTAAGACGGAGTTCCGAGGTAATTAGAAATGCCAATCCATACCTATATATAGCCGTCCTTGTAAAGAATTGGAGGGAGAAAATTCAACATCACTCCCGATTTTCGTTTTTTATTTCCACACATTCATTTACTGACAAAATAATCGGTACCCTTGTCGAAAATCTTCTAAATTCTGTCTCGCAGATAAATTTACCTAAGTATGGTACCTATTGGAATAAGTATGGTAATTTTAATTACATACAGCCACACACATTTTCTCGTATTTCATATGAAAAAATTGAAAGAAAACTTTTACATATTTCCTAAATCTTGTACTATAAGCCTCAAATATGCAATGATTTTAACCGTAAAAAATAAATCTCATTCAGTTAATTTAGAATTAATAATTTAAAAAAAATGAACATAGAATAGACTGCGCTAGGGGTAGTTACGCCAAACACTTTAAATTCCTACGGCGTCAAACTGAAATCTCGTGTTATGTTCTGAAATCGGAACACTAGATCGAGATTTTTATATAAATGCCATTCCTGGTGCAAACTCTGTTCAGAATTAAACTGTCAGCCTTATTTGAATGCTTGGCCAAATGTTGGCAATATAACACGGCAGAAGCTTCCCAACATGAGACTTTGCCACATTCTCCTGCTCTCTCGCAAACTGAAGGCCATTTTTTCAATCATCTTGACATTTTCTTACAGCCCAATCACATTCCTTTTCAACGAAGACACATGAACTGCATTAAAATATTTTTGGCGTTCAGAGGTTTCCTATGATCAATGGTGAAAAAAGACTTTGAGCGAATAAAACTGAAAGACTTCAAAAGTGTTTTTTACGCACTTTCAAGTCAGACGCCATTTTTTCAGAATTACGATTCTGAAAAAATGGCGTCAGACTTGAAAGATATTGGCAAGAATATTGATCTATTGATATATCACGAAGATGCATTTCAACAGAAAAAAAATGGAAGTTATTACTTTGAACATTGTGGACTGATACTACAGAATCACAAACAAAAAGCTGTACCCAATAACAGAAACCGCATCACTTGGGGACTGCCAGCATCAGCAAAAATGGATAGAATATGTAACTCAAAGAGAAAATCATGGCATAAACAAGATGTTAATATTTCATAATCTGAACAAATAAAATGGTCTGGGAAAGAAATCACCTTGAATTCTAAAAAGAGCATTAACACATACTGGTCTTGAGAAACTTGTTTTCATGAAAATTATTTTAAGAGAAAGACCTTATAAGTTTCAACCGAAAACGGTGTGCGCTGTTGTGAATGAAGCGAAACGGTTAATGTTATCATTAACATAACCAAAATAAAAACAGATAATGCAAGGGATTTCATTTTCCATGTACTTCTTGCTGTAAAGTAATATCTAATAACATATTTATAAAACTCGGTGAATAACTTAATGTATTAAAACAAAATTTAAATCAGTCAAAAAAGACACCATAAATATCTATATATTTCTCTTATAGATTTGTAGTTATTATCTTTAAGATAAAAGCCTCTGGCCGCCAAAGCTCTTAATATAAGGTTCTGCGTTTTCGCAACGGTATGTCGATGGGTTTTAATAAAATCTCAAGATGGTTGGAAAACCTGGGCGAGAGAGGAGGAGGAGAATATAGTGGATGTGTCAAAGGATCCGTATCCTAAGCCGGTGAGCTTCTGCATTGAACAGCCTGGAGATATTTTGCCGAGTGATGTCATTTTCAGTTGGTATCATTTTGGTTTTGGAAGGTGTTTGGGCCCGTCGTTATCATGAAACCATTGAGATGGCCGAATACGATTGTCAGAAAGGATCCATTTCTTATAACGTCACTATTCGATTAAGAAACGGACAATTCGAATTTCGCAGATCCAGCATCACACTTCAAAACGGCGAACTTTTTTGACTTTTACTGAGTTCTTGTGGAACCCATTTACCGAATTTCTTCACCTTACCAATTTTCTTGAGATAATGGCACATTGTTGAAATGTTACCGCCCTTTACATGAGATATTTCTCTGACATTTTGATGTCGGTTTTGTTCCACTCGTATTTTCAAAGATTCATTGTCAGTTGCCGTTAAACACTCCTCTACCACTTTGATCTTCAAGCCTCATACATCTACAGCGGAATTTTAGAATTTAGCACGGTACTGTTCGAACACAATGTTTTTTTTCTTTTTCCTTTCAACCCATGATTTAGTAACCTTGACAGAAGTGAGAGAAGCATTATGACAAAGAGGGAACTCATGCCAAAATGAAAACCGCATCGCTTCTTTCATCATATTCAAAATGGTAGATATATAAAACTTGAGATTAAATTCTGAAAGGGGTTGATATAAAATTAACAAAGAGGGAAATTTATTCATTAGCAATTAGTGAGATATTTGTCGTTCACTATTATAATATATTGAAACACATTTAAAAGCTTTATTCTCAAATCGTGTATATATCCTAAAATAAATAATATTAGTCTACACTGTATTGAGCCATCTTTTAACTATATCTTAGGAACCTTGTAATATATATATATATATATATATATATATATATATATATATATATTATATATATATATATATGAGATGAGAAGAATAGACTACAATTCCAACGTTCGTTACATTTAATTTAAACGGTGTCTCAATACAGTGTAGACCAATATTATTTCATTTAGGGATATTACACAGAAAATACGTTTTTCTGTGTAATATCTTAGAATAAATAAATAAATAAGTATATATATATATATATATATATATATATATATATATATATATATGTGTGTGTGTGTGTGTGTGTGTGTGTGTGTGTGTGTGTGTGTGTGTGTGTGAAAAGTGTATATAAATATAAATATATATATATATATATGTATAATTATTTATATATTATATGCGCGGTACTAATTAGAAAGCGCTCAATATCAGGGATAGAGCTAACATATTTGGTTGGATAGATGTGAGTTTGTGACCCTGGGTTTCACGCTTTAGCGATCGTCAGACAAACTGATTAATGTTTTAAAAAATTTGGGTTTATGTAGATTGCGTGTATTGATGTTATTGTGGAAGTGGTGGGGGAAACTTCGTCGTTTTGTCATTCATCGTACTAACGCAAACAAGGATGTATGCAGACACATATACATACTTGGTCGTCCGTCGGGACTCATACATATATAAACATATGTATATATACGTATAACGATGCGTCTTTTCAGGCGATTATAAATTACTGCCGAGTGAACTATTAATTTGGTTTTGAAATATCCATAAATATATATATATATATATATATATATATATATATATATATATATATATATATATATATATATATATATATATATATATATATATATATATATATATATATATATATATATATATATATATATATATATATATATATATATATATTCGAACTCGGCTCTGCGATTCCTCAATCCAAGCCACTAACCACTGCTCCACCAAACCTCCTTGTCGAATCCACTGCATTCACTTACGTGCTAATACCCTTGGGAAAGGCATGTATCCTCTTCATCTCCCTCCAGCTATGGGTAAAATAGCAGGACAGACTGGGTTCTATAGCCTTGGATGGCAACTGGTCTAGGAGAAGGACAACTCTGAATTCAAAACCTGCGGAGGGTCGTTTGGGAACCTTGTGGCATGCATTCGGTGCACCAGGTTTCTGTATTCGTCCCTCCAAAAAGTGTGGCTGGTCCTGCACAAGGCCTTCACCACTATAAACAAATCTCGTGCCGGTGTCGGGATGTCGGTTTCCTGGGGACTTATCGGCCTGACCCTCATACGTCGAACGCGACGTGAGAGTCGATTATATATATATATATGTGTGTGTGTATGTATCTAACAGTTGAGATTAAATATACATCAAATATTGATCGGTATCTGACACAATGTAAAGATAAAAGACAAATTGGAAAAGTTTTTCTATCATGTTTCACTTAAATATAAAAGTGAAACATGTAAAATTGATAACCCCTTCTTATTTGTTCTTTATCTTATCATATATATATTTCTTTCATCTACATACATACATACATACATACATGAATACATACATGCATACATACATATATATATATATATATATATATATATATATATATATATATATATATATATATATATATATTTAAGTTATGAAAACCTTCGTAATCCGAATGGGTAATCCCAAGGATGATGAAATCCTGAGAGCTCAATGTAAACCCAGAGATAATATTTAAAAGAAAAACAGATCACTTACTGTGCCATTATAATAATTTATTTCACCAGAGTCCTTTTAAAGGACGCCGGATCATCAGATAGCACTTCCAAAAATGAAATGAAACAAAAAATAAAATTAAATTTGATGGGTAGTGTAACTTTTTGTAATTTAACAGTGAGTGTAAAAAGAGTAGTTAAAGAGACATGGTAGACATTAGGGAGGGATGAATTTCATAACTCTTTCAATCAATAGGTTTCGAATTAAAATGGAATAATATTTGAGGGTAATATTAAAGATTTTGCTTTCTTCTTATATATATCACATACATACTCATGCAAATCCCATATATACATACGTTCATTTACATGCACATGTGGTGAAATAAATTATTATAATGTTACCTTAAAGTGGTCTGTTTTTCTTTAAATATATATATATATATATATATATATATATATATATATATATATATATATATATATATATAAGAGAGAGAGATATGACGAAATTGGAAATATAAACGATATCAAAAATATTTTTTTTATAATTTGAGTAGTAAATTTATTTTATATT